CCCCCAACCGAAGGCAACTAAGCTACAAATCCGCCTTTCACAGGTCGACCATATCTTATACACTGTATTTGCAACTTGCTATCGAGTTTGTGCGATTATTTAGAGCTCGGATCACGGATAATTACATCCTATTTGATTAAAATAGACATTAAATTTGACAATTCATATATCATGTCAATATCCCATACATGAAACATACATATTTTTTATTTTTATTAAATTCATATATAGTTTTTGTCAAAATTTAAATCATATCACTTTTATATATTTTTTTGTATCGTTTTCATAATATTTGATGTCTAAAAATTACTGGATCTAACCTGAATCAAATGAAAAATATTACTTTAAGATAAAACTGATTTAAAAGGCAAAGGGGAATAATGAATATAATTAAGGTTTATCAACCCCAAACTAGCTTGTGAACTACATAAAGGAATACCCATTAACATGATGAGTATCTTATAAATTGCCTTTCTCACAAGCACAAACAATGATGCCCCCATAGTTCTTACAATAGATATAAATAATCACACGAGTTTCTTTGATTCATGCATATGTGAACAACTTTAGTGTTGATTTCTTTTTTCTCTTTGAATCATAACAATATAAGCCATGCAAAATAGTGCTGACTTTGGACTTTAATTGAATCGGGAAGTTTGGACTGGACATTAGTTCTTTTGGTGAACGGCAATTTGGTGGATGTCCATGTCTTTCAACATTACAGAACGTCCACAAGAATCACATGGAGCAGTTCCTTGAGCCACAAAGGGCTCTCATGTTCAGAAAGTCCTCTTAATCTGTCACGAACGTCCATGCAGAGCTTCCAGCTTTGAACCATGTCTCACAACAACCGACACGTATTAGACGCAGGGGACAATCTGAAGCTTGGCTGTTGCACCTGTCCCAACATACTGAAATTAATAAAGATATCTAGATCAACAAGAAAAGAAAGATGCAATCAAGGCTTCCACTTTCCAATCACCTACTTCTCAATTTCTCATTTTGATATCAGAATTAATGACAGACTCCAATCATTGTGGTCACTCCAGGAGCTAAACAAAAGATCATCATGTTCCTTTAACTAGCTTAGGCGATTTACACATCAAACATAAAATGTTGTGTTTTTAAAAAGACAAAACAAAATGTTGAACTGAGTTTAGAAATGTCACAGTGATGGTGTGCCAGCGATTTGAGGTTGTCTTTTATGAACACTTCCAACAATTTCAAACCTTAAATTTTGTTTGATAATGTCTAAGACATGTCAACAGCACTGGCATCTCTAAATGTCTAATAATGTATTTACAACCTAAAAGAACACAAGAAACCCTAATTTACAATTACACAAGAAACCCTAATTTACAATTAAGTATTCATACTCATTCCTAGTCATCCTCTGCTGGCTTAAAAGGGGGCTAGTGGATATGCCATCTGGAACTGGCACAGAATGACACACACTTTAAGTAATGCATATGCAACATTATAATAGAACCAGAACACACACTTCAAGTAATGCACATGCAACATTCTAATAGAACCAGAACAATAGTTGTCAGATTCGCGAATTAGCTTATGTTCCACTTCTGAAATAAATTAACAAAAATTGGCAGTAATAATGCCCTAGTTAATTCAAATATAGTAAATTGAAATGAATTTTCTGTAGAAAGAAGTGTGGCCTACCATGTCTTCCTTCTCAAGGACAACTCCACAAGGACACCTAAGTGGTTCATGGAACACTTTCAGGTGCTTCTCCATCTCTCCCAGTTGAAAAGCTTGCCACATTTGTCACAATGCACATGATTTTTGGCCTCTTCAATCCTTAGAACAATTCCGCAACCAACATGTGGACAAACAACATTATGTCTACTACAGTATGCTTCATGCAGTGCTATACTCCTACTGGGTATAAAATGCTTGCAGTTCCGGCACTCCACAGTATCAACCTCCATCGCAGATGAATGCACAGCTTGCTGACCCACCTTATGCTTGCTGTTCTCTTGAACATGCACCGATACCTGGTACTTGGTTGTTCCTTTGAAGCCATAGACTGCAAGGCTATAAGTACCAGCACCCAAGTTCCCGTCTTTGGAGCTGAGGATCAAAGTCTTTGAGCCAACATCATGGGAAGACCATTCATGTTGGTGCCGGTTTGGGAATACAAGGGGATGCTTGGATACATAAAGATCAGTATCTCCACCATTCGCCTCTGCATCTATCTTTACCTCTATTTTGGCATCGTCCAAAACAATTTTTTCCCATGTATTCTCATCAATTGAGAACTTATAATACAAGTAATTTCCTTCCTCAACCAATCCAGAGTCTGATGTACCAAACACAAGTGGTTTTAAGACGTATTGATCTGTCCTCTCTGATTCAACACCAGGGTTGACTATATCCACCTCAATATCTGTTTCCAAGACAGATATGCTTGAAGAGGGTTTTAGCTCAAGCACACGTAACCTGTACGTCAACTCCCCATATTTAACTGTGAGAATGTCATCTTGAGAAAGGGTAGCATGCTGACGAAGGCTTGTTTCAAGAATAGCCTTGTGATTGGGTAAGTCAGAAAAGCCAATTCCATCAGGTTGAAGTTTAGCATATGTTCCTTTTGAGAGTCGAACATAACGAACCTCAACCAAGGGAGACTTTGGAGTGTCCACAGGGAACAAATTACTCCATACATGGGGAGGAATTGCAGCAGAACCTTCATCAGCAGTGAATTCCAAGACACCCGAATGAGTAGTCCTATTATTCTCCTTCTCACCACCCTTAATCACGGAAGAACCCCCTTGATGAACCACCAACAACTGAAAGTACATTGGTCCCTTGTCAAATGCACCTTGATTAGACAATTCTGTGAAACATGATGGTGGCAACTTGATCTTATCTCCACTACCCTGGAAAGGTACAGCTTCTAAGATCCTACAAAAAACTATTCCTCCTCCCGCAAGCAAACTTTCTACCATTTGCTGTTCAGCCTACAAAGGAAGAAAATGGTTAGAAATGCCCATTACTAAATAAAGCAAAAATGTCATAATGCAACACATTCTGCTCATATGTAAACCATCTAAGCAAGCACTAGTCTTCTCTATACATACGTTGTGTGGACTCTACCATGGTGAAATTATCATAAAAGTAAAGGTGCAGTCGTGCAGACCTCATACCTAGTCCGTGGTAGATTAAAATATCCAAACAGAATAGTTAACTAAGGGTCAGTTCAACGATTAGAACCTAAAACTTTGAAATTTGGGGTCTCCAGGTTAGAATTTTGGGAAAAGGGAGGTTAGGGTTTATGGAATCGACGACGATCAATTTCTGCCTAAAAATGACAAAAAAAAAAACAATTTCTGCTTTGTCATAATTACAATCCTAAAAGAATTACTTATAAATTCAATAGAAGAGTCAATAATAAAATCAATAAATTGATTTTTAGAACTTTAAAGCAGGGATCGGGGACTAGTAGTACCTTGAGCTGAGCTTCAATGGCGTCAAGCCGTCTAGATCTCTGAGCAGCTTCAATGGCATCTCGTTGCTTCTTAGCCTCTTCTTTCGCTTTCCTCTCTTTCTCCAATTTCAACTTGGCCCTTTCCTTCCTCTCCCTCTGTTCTTTATCAAGCTTCTCTCTCGCTCTCCTTAGCTCAAAATCCATAACTCAAACAAATTCCTCTATATTTCAAAAGTTCGATCGAAAATTTCGAGATTGGTTTGGGTACGTGGTTTTATTTTTAGATTGTTTTCAAATTTGCGATATTCGATTAATAAAAAGGGTTCGCAGAGTTGGATTTCGTGTTGGCCAAGACTCGAGGAAAGGCGAGGACGGTTTGGTTTTCTGTTTCTATTAGTTCGAGAAACGTCTGGGCCTTTCTATGGACAAGATGGGCTGGGTTTAGAGTTGGACACAATTTTAGGCTTGTTATTCGGTTTGTGTTTATAGGTTGAGGCCCCCGAATTTAATGGTCGAAATTGAACTAAGCTTTTTAAAAGCCCAAAGGTGAACCAACTGGAATACGGCTATCCTTTCTTAATTAAAAAAAAAAAAGAATGTTATTTTCTTAATATACCTCATTTGAAATTCTAACAAAATTAAATATATTAGTCACTAACCTCCCTATAAATATTTATTTTTTTGTACAAAAGAGTGGTTATCCACTTTACACTATACAGACTCGTGGTTTAGATAAATTCATAAAATCATTTTAAAATTTAAGTAAACCATTTTGAAGAAAATGAAATAACTCAATTTGAATTCCATTGCAGATGTGGTACGATGTGATAAAATTCATCGTATTATCAATTGAATTTAAATATTAATTTTAATAAAATTTATTTAATATATTTATTTATTAAAATTTTTAATTATAATAATATTTATTATTTTTTAATTTTATTAAAATCAATTTTACTGTCCCTTTAAATAGAATCTAAAACCCATACATTAAAATTAAAGTTCTCTAAGTATTGCACAAATATTATCCTTTTTTGGCCATAGAAGAACAAAAGCTCAAGGAAAAATTATTCATCGTTTATGTATATTTTAACGAGAATTTAAAATAAAATAATAAATATGTCAACACAAATTATATATTATATTCAAATTTTATTTAAAGTAAAAAGACAAGTGCCAAAAATTTATTCCATTCAAGTTTCAAAAGCTTTAAAGTCAAATTAAATTAATAATCATATAAGATTGAATTTTATGGAACAATTAGAAGAACCAAAAATTAATCTATTTGATTAAACTCAAGTTCATCATAAATTAATTAAATTCATAAGCATAAGCCAATGGTCAATCATAATCAACATTTAAACATAAAGATAAAATATATTTTCAAAAATTAGTATACTTAAAAATTGTTTTTAATTAAATTGGGAATAGGTTTTCTTTTGTTTTCAATTAATTTTTGGGGAAAAAAAAGCTGTATTAATTCATAAAAATGTTACAAAATGTGTGTTTTAATTTATTTAAGCTTTTACATTTTGAATTCATCACTTTGAAAATTAAATTAATATAAAGTTAAAGAGTTTGTTTCTTCAGCAATGCTATTATCCTTGTGATCCAAAATTTTGAGAATATTGTCCAGGGCATCTTTGGCAGCCCTGTTATGTGCAATTTCCTTCTTGAGACTACAAGCACCTCTTCCCACAAGTTGGTCATCTATGAACACATTAAAAGCTGTGCTTTCTTTCCATAAATCTTCAAATTTTACTTTTAAATTTCTCTTCTGACACACTTCATATAATTGGGTCACTGGGTGTATCTTCAGGGTCTCTCGCCTGATTATGGGCTCCAACAAATCCTTGAAAACCTATACATCCAAAAATAAATAAATTCTCTTATTGCTTATATATATATAAGTTTAGGACGAAAGAAATCTTCGATACAGGGTTAGGGCAAATCTCATGTCTCATAAATGATTTATATTAAATTTACAAATCATTTATTAAAATAAATAATTGAGATTCAAACTTAAATTTTACAAATGAATATTTAATTTTATCAACTTAACCAATCTTGTTGACTACTTTTATTGTATTACAAAATTCATTGCACTATATTCTAATAATGAAAACTGTTCAACCCCATCCAACATTATTATTGGAATTATGTGACCTAAAAACTTGTTGCATTTTTAAGTTCATATTAATAAGAGAAAATTTGCCAAAAATTTTGAAAAAAAAAATCAATATCAATGTTATAAAGTGTCCAAATCATTAACTTTAATCAAATAATTAAAATCCTAAAGTTTAAATCATAATTATTATTGAAAAATAATTTTATTTAAGTAAGACTATTTTGTCCAACATTTCAATTGTCTGGCTTATTCAACAAATTAGGTATTTTTATTTATTTTACATAAGCTTTTTTTTTTTTGTATTTGAAGTACGGAAATTTAAATTTTAATCATTAAATTTAAAAATAAAATATTTTACTAACAAATTACGTGACTATTGATTTATTTTGACTTTAGAACCTTTGGAATGGGAGATAATTTATGTAAATTCACGAAAGGTTGCAAGGAATTAAAGGTGAAAGTGAAAGGAAAATGTAAGGTACCTTCCATACGATATCAATGGAGAAATTGGCGTCAATGAAAACGGCGCCGATTACAGATTCAACAAGATCGGCTAATGCCTTTGGCACGTCGACCAGTCCATTAGAATGCAAAGGATAGCGCTGTATTTCTTGAGAAAATTGTCGAATCTGTGGAAATTTCTAGATTAGATTATAGCTTGAAAAGTCCAATTTACAAAATCGACCAAAAAATAGAATCACTATACTAATACAAGCATAAGTATAAAAAAAAAAAAACCCATAATCAAAATTAAATAATCATCCAAATAATTATCATTTTATTGTAATTAATTGAATTTTCAAATATTTATTATTATCAATTAAATTTTTATTAGAAATTAATCATCAATATTTATTTTTAAAATAAATATTTAAAAGATTAATTAGATGAAAATAAATATTTATGGTTCAATTAATTATAATAAAATAATAAAAATTTAAATAATTATTTAATTTTTGTTTAAAAGTTTTTTTTTTCTTGTTTATACGTAAGCCATTAGTCTATGTATTTATGACCAATAATGGCCCATGCAGCCAAGCTGAAGATGCTTTGGTGACTTGAAGACAAACGAATAATGGATGCCTTTACTGACAAAATCTGACCATAATCCTGATGTAAAAGGAATTCACTAAGCTACAAACCTTAATTTAGAACATAAGACAATAATCCATGATTATTTGTCCTAAGCCTCGCCATTTTCAAACATAGACCTAGTCGTAGCTACGATGCAGCAACTTGAAATTATTCCAGGGTACAATATTTTCACATGCAATTTATATACTTTTTTATTTTTACGCTGTGATCAAATTTTTTTACCTTAAATGATCTCTTGGTCCGACCAAAATTTAACCCAAACTGACAAACCAATGAAAATCAATGGACAATTAATCGTTCGGATTCTCCAAAAAAAAGTACATAGTTCAAGGGAAAAAAAAAAAAAACTCATAAAGGTAAATCTCTAAACTTTTCTAGTATATTTCAGCCAGTCAACTCAGACCAAGTATCTGGAAAGTAGAAACATCACTATCGAAAAAAGATTTCAACAACTAAAACATTAGACGCAAAATTCGACTTCCTATAACTATTGGTGACTTACCCAATGATCATAGTTTTTTTTATTAACATCCAACTCTTAGATCTAATTTAGTAGTGTTCGTGCAGTTGAAAAAAATGTTTAAAATGTAATTAGAAAAATATGATTTAAGAAATTTTTTTTTTAAAGTTATGATTTAAAAGTTTTAAGTGTCTAACATGATTGTGAAAAAATATGTAAAAAATTAAAATATCTAAAATAATATACATAAAATAATAAAAATTTAAAGACACGGGGGCAACCACTTTCCAAGAAAACCTCGAGAGGTTTTTTTTTTTTTTTTTGAGTTTGCATATCAAACTTTTAAATAAAAAAGTATTTTTTTTTAGTATTAATGTGAGATAAAAACAGCTTTGGAACCATTTTCAATCTCAATACTAAACTAATCGTTAGGCTAAAATTAAAGAAACAAACTAATATATTATCTCCTAAAAAAGTATAAAGCTAATTCTCATAATATTAGAGATTTTTATCTTCTTATTTCATCTAAAAACAATTTAAAAAATAAGTCTTGTTGACACTTACCTGCTTCTCAAGAAGAGGTTTCTTATGACGCAAAAAGCGATGCAGCCCATGTTTAATGGCAACACGAGCCAGCTTCTCCGTATCAACATTAGCTGCTCGGAGCCTGGTCAAAACCCCCGGCGGCAAATCAGGGTACTCAAAGTACTGGTGTTTGGTGAACAGTAGGTTAAGCACAGAATCACCCACGTACTCTAACCGCTCGTTGGATAAGCCGTGTCCCAGCGACACATGTGTAAAAGCTTCTTCTAACAACCGTTTGTTGGTAAACCCATAGCCCAAGATCTCCTCCACTTCATTGAGATTCGGCAGCGAGTCTATTATATTTTGAGTTGAGTCGACTGCTGATTCGTTTTCTTTTTCGTTAACTTGCAGCTTTTGTAGTTGATCCGATATTTGCTCCTCTTGGGTTTTCATGGCTGTCATTGTAAAATGCAAAAGGAAAGAGATTGATGAAATCAAACTGCTAGTAGGATTATTTATAAAGAGAAAAAGATTTCGACGATAGGAAAACGTTGAGTCATAAAAAAATAATAATTCCTTTATGGAAACAATAGATTCGATAATTATAAATAAGATACGGAAAACATAAAAAAAAATATGATCTAAAATTTTAGTTAAAATCATAAATAAATTTAATAAAAAAATATATTTTATTTTAATGAATTCACATAAATTATGATATAATAATTTTTATATTTTACGTATAATAATATAATATAAATATGATATAAATATATAAAATATTATATCTAAAAAATAAACCAAAAAAACCAATGTTTTTTTTTATAAAAACAAAAAAAAAAAATCTGAAACCCATAATTACCTGTTTGGTCTAAAATTATATATTAAACTGTGACAAAAAAAATTGACATTGAATCAAAAAATTCAAGGCATGGAAATCTTTGAATTAAAATTAAATAATATCTAAGTTCTTATCATTTTATTACAATTAATCAATTAAGTTCTCATATTTTTATTTTCATCAATTGAATTTTTATTATACAAAAATTAATTAATTGCCCATATTTATTTTTATCCATTTGAAAGTTCCATTAAATAAAAATAAAAATTTAAAATTTTAATTTAATGAAAATAAATATTTTATATCTCAATTATATAATTTTTATTTAAGAATTTTTTGATATTTAAGCCTAAATTCAATCAATCAAACCAGTTGAAACCAAAAGTAATAGCTCCAACTGGTTCATATCCTCCATTAGTCCCATCAAAAACATTGACCATAACTAAAACAAGAAAAGTTAAAGAAAAAGATAATATTAATCTTTTTTTATTCATAAAATTTTTAATTTGTCGTACAAGAAGGGAAAAACAGAGGTGATGACCAAGTTTATGGCATTTTTAATTTATGGAAAGCATCAAGATGGAGGGATAAGATTGGCTAAACATATAAAACTAATTATTAAGGGGCCGTTCCATATTGTTTTTATTTTTTTCTTTTACTATTATTTTTTATTCACAATTAAGAATTCCTTTTTAAAATTTTTAATACATTTTTTTTTTACTTGAGTAGCTAAAGCTAGGCTAGACTAAGCAATCATAAAATTATAAGGTGTTTATTTTATGCATGTAAAATGCTGTATAAATATGAAACTTATTCAGATCAAAGGCATCCATACGTAAAATACTGCGAAAAGCTTACCTCGTAATTTTGACGTATAAATATGAAACTTATTCAGTCAAATGCATCGATTCAAGCATGTAAAATGCTGCCAAAAGCATACCAGCTCAATTTGATATATAAGTATGCAAAGATTTTTTAGCCCTTTAGCAAAGCAAAAAGCTACTATAAGGAATCGCAGATGAGAGAGATTCTATCAGCCTAAATTAATTTTTTTTAATATAAACAAAATTGTAATCTTAAAATAAAAAATTATTAATAATAAAATTTAAATTTTAAAATTATTAAATATCATCTTTTAAATATAACTAAGAGGAGAAACTCAAAACCTCTTACCCATACCCTACTACAAGTCCCGTGCAGTACGAGTCGGGAAGAATCGCAAACTTTCTTTGATTATTTCAAAGTCAGTTAGAGGCGTCTAGGAGAAAACAATTTGCTCTAAACCTTTCGGTTTGTCTTGTTATAAGAAAGGAATTCAAATTCCACTCGTATAGAGAGAATATATAATTTTATCTGTTGACTTAAATCAAATGTTCGGATGCTAAATGTTTTAAATTTTGATATAAGAAGCATTCTAATAGTACTCTTATCATGTGAAATATATTTTTCGTGTTTGACGGTTTGATTATTCAATTATTTATATAAATTTATATAGAAAAAAAAAACTATTAAATAGACTTATTTAGTTACAATTATTTTAAAGTATTATGACTTTTATAAAAATGAAAGCATTTATTTATGATTGTTTTATCTTCTAAATATTTCTTTATAACCACCTCGGCCTTATCACATAATTTCATCCTACACAATGTTGTCATTTTTTTTTTTAATAAAAATAAAAAATTATGATGCGAGGTTATCCTATTGTAAGGACAAGACACAAGAATTTGTAGGAGAGACTGTTGATAGTGAAAATTGAATTTAAGTTTTATAAATTAATTATTTAATTTTTATCAATTTAATTAATTCTATTATCTACACAATGTTATCATTGTCCATTGATCTCGGTATCAAAGTAAATGTAAAGAGTGATAATGGTTTTTTTTTTTTAATATTATTAGATCTTGAATTGTATTTTGATATTATGTTTTAAAAACTATTTTTAAATCTAAATTTAAAGGTCCAAAAGTTTTTTTTTTTAATTTTGATAAAAAAACCATAAATTTTGATTTTTTTTAAAGATTGTGATTTTATTTAAATTTGAAATTCAAATATTAAGTTTGATTTTGGTAATTATTGACAATCAAGTTTTTACCAAAAAGAAAAATAAATTTTGGTAAGATCTTAATAGATTAGGCAAACAAATATATTAGGCAAATAAATTATCATGCAAAGATAATATTAATCATATAAATTCATGAAAAAATAAATATCATACAATAAATATAAAAATAAGAGTAAACAATTAAATATTATAAAAGTTATACAAAAATCACTAAAAAGATTGAAGTAAACATTACCTCAATGAATCATTGGTTCCAACAAATTTTTACATTTAAAAAACTAATGCTTCATACTATAAATCTTAGTACTTCTTCCAAAAACTCAAAGTGAATCTTCTTGCAATTTGTTGCTTGATCGTTTTCTCTTTGTTAATTCAAAATTTTATCCAAATTTCTCTCTTTTCAATAACCTTTGTTTGATTTTAATGTGAATTGCTGTTAGACCCTCTTTTGATTTTAGATTCAAGATTTTTATATAAGGATTGAATTCTTTTCGATTTAGAAGAAATTAATTAAACCAAATTTAAGATTTTTCTTTAAATTTTATTTTCTGTGTAATCTTTCTTTTTTTTAATAGGTTGAGTTTCAAGTCTTTTCAAAATTATTCAACAATTAAAGTTAAAATTTGAGATAAAATCCAATAGTTGAATTGAATCCAAGATTTTTCATACAAAATCACACTTTTTTTTTTTGTTTTTACCATTTTTTTTATTTTTTTTTTCCAAATTGACTTTGACTCTTTTGACTAAAAAAATAAAAATTAAACAAAAAATTAAAGTATAAATAAAATTTAAAGCTTAATATTTGGATCCAAAATTCACTTTTCTAATTAAAACTCAATTGCATAATTAAAATTAAAATTCAAAGTTCAATGAATTTTAAAAAATTCTCGAACAAGATATGATGTCTATAATTGTAAGAGCAAGACATATTATAGGTGTCAACAAGTATTTGTAAGAAAGATTGTTGATAGTGAAAATTGAATTTATGTTTTATAAATTAATTATTTTATTTTTATCAATTTAACTAACTTTATTACCTTCACAATGTTATCATTGTCAATTGATCTCAGTATCAAAGTAAGTGTAAAGAGTGATAATGGTTTGTATATATATTTTTCAACAATGAAGTTTTAAAAAAGATGAAAATTAAAAATTTTATCTTTTTTTATATTTAAAATCATCAAAATTTGAATTAAAATTAAAATTTTAATATTCTATCACTAAATCGGTGGTTGTTGTCAAACCTTTTAATCTCTTTTGTTGTAAAAGTTAAAATTTTATCTATTTTATTGTAAAAGTTAAAATGAAGACAATATTAATAAGTACATTATAAATATCTAATTTCGTCAAGAGTTTTATATATATATATATATATATATATTTATATATATATATACTATTGGATCTTGAATTACATTTTGATATTGGGTTTTAAAAGTTATTTTAAAACCCAAATTTAAAGGTTCAAAAGTATTTTTTATTTTTATTTTTGGTAAAAAAGCATAAATTTTGATTTTTTTAAAGATTGTGATTTTTTTAGATTTAAAATTCAAATATTGAGTTTAATTTTGGTAATTCTTGACAATCAAATTTTTACGAAAAAAAAAAGTAAAATTTTGATAGATTCAATTGACATTAAAATTTTTTAAATTAAAAGGAGATTCAATCCTTATATAAAGATCAAGAAGCAAAAAGAGAAGAAACACAATAAAAAATAATCAAGCAACATAAAATTTTGACATTGAATCAAACATTCTAAAGTATGTAAGTAAAATAGTTACTGTCTATCGAGAATTGAAGTTTGTGATAATTAAGCAAAGAAAAACAAAGCATTAACATAAACTTAGAAATCTTAACAACAATGAATGGACTTTAGTTTCCTTTAAAGAACAAAAAGAAATAAAAGACAATGAAAAAAAGTTGTTGCTTTTGAGTACTCTTGAAACCCTTCATAGTTTCGGACGGACACTTATGAATGTTAAAAAATTAAGGTCATATTTAGTGAATAAGATGATAATTATTATATATTATGTTTGGTTTGTATCTAAAGAAAGTGATAGGATTAAAAGGAAAATAAATCATCCTCTTGGAATAGAATGATTCAATCCTCCCAAGGTGAAGAGAATAATTTTTAATCTGTAGGATTGAACATACATGTCTTATTATACCTTTAAAAATTATATTAATAATTTAAATTGTATAAACTTTGAGGAAGGATAATTTTGATTAATAAATAAATTATTCTATATCTTAATCTTCGCACAATTAAACACAAGATATGATGATATTATTTAATCTAATCCTATTCATAATATCATTTTATCATATCCTATCATAATCTTATGTATCAAATATATTATAAGAACTTTTAAACAAAAGAAAATGTTTATATTTGATGCACTGTTAATTTTATACATTGTCTATAAATTAAATGATAATATCTTATTAATGAGATGAATATGATGATATCACCTTATTTACAAGTAAGTTTTTTAAAAAATTATTAATTTTTTGTAAATTTATTTTAAGGGCTAATATTTAATTATTAATAAAGTGGCATTATTTGATTCATTAATAATGTATAGAATATATATATTAATAATACATCAAATATAAATTTAAAATATAAACCTATATATAATAAATGAAAAGTAAACAAATGTTTTTTATTGGTAGATATATATTATTGATATAATAGAAAATGATAATTTATTTTATGTAACTTAAAATCATTTTTCAAAATTTTTTAACTCAAATGAAAAGAAAATTTAACCATATAGACCCACAATCATATTCTGTTTAAAAAAAAAAAAAAAGCACTCAAACACATTTCAAATTTAGAGTTTAAAGTTTAAGTTTTGTGAAGAGAAAATAATAGTAAAATATAATTCACAATGGCCTAACTCTTGAGAGATTGAGTAATTTCTTTCTTTCTTTCAACATTTCAAGATAGAGAAATGATTTATGCATTTTCGTAAAATGATTTAGTTAGAATTAATTATATTTTTATATTTGAATTTTGAAAAAATGTACAAAGTGATATTTAAAAAATAAAATATATAATTTTATACCTTGTACTTTTAAATAATGATAATTTGCATCCTAAAATTTCGAATCATATATAATATTAACCAAAACTCTAATCTCTTAACCATATCATCGTATATATACGGTATTTAATAAATATTATTAACTTATGTGATTGTTACACATATTATCAACATTTTTTTCAATATAAATTAAAAAATATATATTTAATTTACTTAAATTATAAAAAATGTCTAGCATCGATCAATTATTTTTTACAAAATATTTAATATTTTTATTCAACAAATGCATGCATACAATAAAATTATACTTGTTAAATACTATATAAGTGAGTTAAGTTAACAATATTAAAATTTAAAATAAAATAATACATTATTTGAAAATTAAAGGTGCAAATTATATATTTTATTTTTTTTAGGTACCAATTTGTATATTTTCTCAAAATTTAAATGCTAAAAGTGTAATTAACTCATTTAATTATTATGTGCATACAATCTTTTCCTATGTATTAAAATGTCAAGTTTAATACAGCACGATCTAAGGCCACCAAGCTTGGTTCAGCAATATCTCTATCTTGAATAAAACTTATTTATTTTGATTTTTTATATAAATTAATCCCATTAAAATTTAAAGAATGTACCCTAATTACCACTTGCAATAATAAAATCTTATATACAATTTTATATGGTTAAAAATAAAGATGAGTGCATGCTATTGGCAAAAGGAAATTAAAAATTAAAAATATAAAAATAAAAAATAAAAAAGGAACACCCTACTCGTGTCTTGCTTTGTACCATAATACCGTATGGATACTAAAATCAAGACAAAGGCAAAAAGACTAGGGGTTGACTTAAATGCCATATTTAAATACAGTCAAAGTAATAGTTGTACAGACAAAAAAATAGTACAACAATTTTGATAACAAAATATCTTTTAGGTTTTTATATAAAATAATTTCGAAACTCAAAATTAAAAATATTTATGAACAGAGTTAAGCCAAACCCAATTCAACTTTTGAAAAGCGTACTCAAAGCCCAACCCAACCCAAGCTTAAAATCTTTTTTAAAATTATATAAATATTTTTATATTTTTAAATATACTTAAACTTAAATTTCGTAGAAAAAAATTATTTAACAAAGAAATATTTTATGTACGAAATCGACTCCAAATTTGGAAATTCATGTCCAAAGTCAACCTCAAAAGCTCGATTACTTGTTCCGCTTATGCACAGATTTACACAATGTATTGAAAATCATAAATAAAATTATTAATTATTATATTTAATACAAAATTATTATTATTAAAAATATTCTACAAAAAACCTAAGCTTAAAAATATAATAATATATTAACTAAATACCCTAAAGACACTAGTTACACGTAACTTGTTAGCAAAATCCAACCTCTTTGGGTCGACATTTAGATTTTTTTTTATTATTCAAACTTAGTAGAAAATACCCTTTTCCAGCAATGAAAAGAGTTTGCCAATTTTTTTTTCTCCTAAGCAAAACTTCTAAGGAAATAAAACTCTGCTTTTGCAGGAGCTGAGACTATAATTGAAGCTCGGACTTGGACAGTTGAGGAAGTTTTTTTTTTTTTAAAGTTTCTAATTTACTCTCAAACTTTTTATCCTACAAAACCACCTACTCTGCTACTTAACTGATTCCAGAGGATATTTCACCCGAGTTCTCTCGCATCCGTAGCTTCTAAATGATAACTCTAATAACATGCCACTTAAACCATGCCAACTAATTTATAGTCAATCCGCAACAATTGAGCAAGTTAAATAGGGGGATATCAATAGGTAGAGATTGGGCTGTAAATGATCATTGCAATCAATAATGATGCATTCAAGCTTTAGCATCTCTCTCCACCATCACTCCATGGCATCCTGGTGATGTGTTCTTGAGCAGTCACCAAACGGTAAATACCTTGTTCTATCATAGAATTTGAAACTTGCAAATTACAATCAAGTTTACCATGATTTGCTTACCTCTGTTTTGCCCACCATTTATTTATTTTTTGGTACAAACAAAGATTAGGAGAGCTGTCCCCTCTTTTGATCATAGGTATGGTGCCAACAAAGATTATGCAACTAATGTACAATAATCAGAAACATTAAAGCTTGCTTCAACAGCTTATAAGAAGAAGAAGAAAATTAAAAAAAGAAAAGGTTACGAATGGTGTTACTGTAAATGAAGTCAAAAGTATGGATATAACCCATACATCAAACATCAACATATAGCATAACACCAATGCTTGGAAAAACTCATAACAAGCATGGCTCGCATGCATGCAGTTTACTACTACCTTTCTGCAAAATCAAACATCTGAGGCTATATTTAGAAGTCTCCTACTTACAATAACCCATGTCATCTCACTGAATGGAGTCAAACAGAATAATATAAAATGTAAAAATACACTCAGCAGCTCTGTAATAGCATGAACTAATCATATAGGAAAATTAGAAGCAGCCTTTATTACTGGCATAGCGATTGCAAAAAAAAACTGCAGCTGAAACGAATTATAAAATAAATTTATAAGTGGAGTTTCTTCAATATGCTTCTTATCATACACCAAGAGGCTAATACAAACAAGGTTCAAAAAAGTATCAAGATATCATTAATGACCATATAACATGCAGTTGCGATGTATCACGGTTGAATGGCATGTGAATTGAAATTAAAACAATGTTGCAATCTACTCAATTATTAACTATTCCAACCTACATCCTCACTATCTATCAATCATACAATCAGCCACAACGATTACAGCTTGGATGCAACATCAAGATTAGTTATTCCAATTCAAAGCCTTTTTAATGTAAAACATGTAGTCAACAACTTTTGAGTTAGTTATCCAAAATAAGAAAAAAAGAATTAAGAAAACATTACAAAACAACTTTGAGCAAATTTTAACCACAACAAACAAAGATACTTTTATTTATATCAAGATCAGAAAACCAATCAAATGCAATTCAAAACATTCATTAAAACAAAAACCATCCACTACATTAAGAAAAATAACATAGTCTTTCTAAATCCTTAATGCTGCTACTAAATTAAGACGATTTAACACACAAAAAAGATACCGATGATGGGAACATACAAAACTCTTCTTCCAATATCAGCCATCAGATTTAGTCACCCTTTCTTCTGAAAGAGCATCCTTCGGTGAGTCTAGCTCTACCACCAGTAGGCTGGCATAGAACTGTCTGGCAGTTACCACACACCACCACAGTTTGAGAGTGGCTAAATACGGTTGTTCTACAAAAAAACACCAAGTATAAACCCAGAAATTAAGAAATGAAATACCCAGAAAAAAATGAAATAGTTAAAATCATAAATCGAAAAGCTTACATGTTGAAGCAGCCTTGACATTTAACATCCTTTGAGAGGGAGATAGAAAAAAACAGAACCAAGTTAATCCACCATACACAACAAATCATGATATGAAAACAAAGAAACAAAGGGTAAATACATTACCATGAAGAACGAATTGGGAGATTGAACGAGGCGCTTGAGCTTGTGCTTCTTCTTCTCAAGCTCGGCTGGAGGATTCAACAAATCAATATCGTTTTGAAGAACCTAAAATCACACAAAAATGCAACAACCCAAATCAGATTTTACAGTTTAAACATAACAAGAAAAACACAAACAAAGCCTTAAAGCGAAATAACATGAACTTGATAGCTAGAAATGTCTAACGTCAAGTATAGGAGGGAAGGTTGAAGGGAGATTCACCATGTTGCCGTTGAGATGCGGATGCGGCGCTAGGGTCTTTGAAGCTGCGGTGCGGGGTGGAAAACTTGAAGAGAGACAGTACTAAGAAAGGATTTAGGGTGTGGAAGTTGGGCCGTTTTGTGGACTTTGAAATACCAAGAGGTGGATTAAAATTATTAAATAATAATTTTTTTTTAAAATATTTTTTTAGGGAAAACAATAAAAAAAATCCAACAAAAATTTAATAATTATTTAAATCTTTGATATTTTATTACAATTAATCAAGTTCTTAATTTTTTTTTCATTCATTGAATCCTTAAATATCAATTGTCATCAAATTAAATTTTAAATATTTATTTTCATCATAATTAAGTTTTTCTATTAGACATAAATTTTCACTTCAATTTCATCTAATAAGGTTCAATTGATGAAAGTAGATATTTGATAATCTAATTGATTATAATAAAATGATTAAAATTTAGATGATTATTAAATTTGTATTCGAGGGTTTTTTTATCCTTTAACATATTTTTATATTACAAATTATTTTTTTATGATTTTTAAAAAAATTTTGGCATTAAAAATTAGGGAACATCAAATTTGTAAAAAATTTAATATTAATATTATATACATCAAAATTAAATATTTTTCTTAAATTATGTGAAAATTAATAAAAGATATGTAATTTATAAATGAAAGATTATATAACTATACATATTATATTTTAAAATTCAATAAAATTTATATAATTATAAAACTAATTTTAAATCATAATATAGTAGTAAAATTTGCCTTAATTTTAAAAATCATTTTAAGTAAAAAGTCATTTTAAGTTGACCTTTCTTTTGGTTCAAAAATGCTTTAGATATAGCCCCTCTTTATTTAAGCATTATTTGGAATTAAAAGCAATCGTGATGAGGCATAATTCAAAGGTGCAATCATGCTATTTTAATGGTTGGATGATCAATATACAGCACGATGAGACATTTTGACCGTGCTGCATCTCCAATTAAAGATTAGACTAAAGGTGTCAAATGGGTTGTTAGTCTTTGACACAATACGATTTCAACAATATGAATTATATTTGATACGATTTGTTATTAAGTAATCCAGTTAGATTAAGTATAATATATAAATAGTTATATCATATTGAGCTAAAAAGTTTAGGCTTGTATAGATCACACAACCTGTTAAAGATTAGTATTAATATATGATATGCAGGTTAGTATGACATTACACATAGGTCCAATCGTATCATATTAATTCATAATTATTATAAGTGAACGCCTAACATTTTAGTGTATTTATATTATTTTTATATTGTAATGAAATTACATTTACTTATGATGTTTTATTGGTAATTTATAAAATAAAATAATATTAAAATTAATTATTAAATATTTAAATTGTTAATAAATAAATTATATTTAACTAATATTTAGCAAAAATAAAATGATAAAAAATAAATTAAGACTTCAAATTAAGTACAAATTCAATTAACAAAGGTAATTGTTATGGGACAAAAGGTATATAATAAATGCACAAGACAACACATTACATAAGTGAATCAATAGATAATAAAATGTAGAATAATAATATTGTGTTTTATAATATCTTTTATATGTATGTGTGTGTTTTTAAAATATTATGATTGTAATTTTAATATTTTTATTTAATGGATTCTATTATCTTTCTTTGTAGATGTAAGCATCTTGTCGAACTACATAAATTATGACAATTTACTTTTATTTAACTTCGTATGTTACTTTTAATAATAGATTAATTTTTTAAAAAAATAATAAAAAGTTTAAAAAACTATTAATGGATTATAGTTGACCCATATCGCATGAAAAATAGTGTGGTGCCAAGCACGACACGACCCATGAAAGTTATGGGTTATGTGTCGTGCTGGGTTTTACTTTTAGTTTTTATGGATTTTGCTAACACAACACGTTAAAAATAATGCTGAGCCAGCATAATCTATTAACACATTAACTAATATTTAAGTGGATTGTGGATTGTGTCAACTCAGCACAGTCCATTTGACACCTCTAAACTAGACCCATGAAAGTTTAATGAAAATTTGCAAGTTTAAAATGCATTTTTTTGCCATTTTTAACCATCTTATTTTTTTATTTTTCAACACTTGTTCATTTATTTATTTATTTTATTTTACTTTAAATTTTTTAAACAATTTATTTTTTACTAGATTAAATAATTAATTTTAATTATTTATTAACAATATTATTTTTTACATAAATATAATTTAATAAATTTTAATAATTTATTAATTTTATAAATATGAAATAATTTAAAATTTTCATTATATGTAATTTTTAATATGATATCTTTAATGATAATTTTCTCTTTACACTATAGTTCATCTCACCATCATCACTGTATTTGTATTCAAACGTATATTGAATCATTGATTTTAATCTTATTACTATAACAATCAATCTTATTGCTATAGTAATTAATTTTATTTTTTTCGTTATTTTCAATTTTAGTAGAACTAATCTTATTACCCATCTATATCGACAATTAAACAATTAAAGTAAAAAAAATAAATAACATTCTCTAGTCATTTACTTTTTTATAGTTAATATCATCAAATTTTGAATTTGTAATTTTGATAACTTTAACAAAAAATTATGTACTTATCAACAAATCACACGAGTAGACAAGGAAATCTACTATACTAAGGAAACAATGAACCATTGGATCCATTTCTCTCTAGACTGAGAAGTAAAACCTTCAACGGCATTTAGAGAGAGGTATTCATTCGATCAATTCAATTAATTTAATCAAATTATTCAAATCACATTAATTGAATTATTTTGTTTTATTTTTGTTAACTAAACTAAATTTTTAATTTTGAAAATTAACGATTGAAATTAATTTGATTGATTTGGTTATTTTTTTAATCAATCAAATAATAAAATATATTAATTTAAATTGTATTTTAAATTCTTAATTTTTATATTTAAAATAAATTAAATAAAATCATCCAATAAAAATATTAAAATATCAAAATATTAAATTAAAAACTTTAATAACTTACAATAAAATTGACAATTTCATATATTTTAATTTTAAGTTAATTTTTGATTATTAATTTTAATTAATTAATCAAAATTAATTTTTTAAAATTTATTTTCAATAACCAACTAAAATTAATTTAATAACTAATCAATTTATTAAATTTAATTAATTCAATCGATTAATTTAATTAAAGTCGAATTTTATACACCGGAAGCTATCCAATTGTGCTCCCCAATGCAGTTGAGGGTAAAAAGGTGCATGGATAACATCGCAACGGCGTAAAAAGGCAACTATGTTTCTTTAATTCTTTAGAACTTCATGGGCAAGTTTCTCTGATGGAGAAATTTTTAATTTATGAAACGACAGATGTAGCAAATTAAGTGAGAACAGTCAATACTTGTATAATCGTTTGGTAAAATATTGAAATATAATTTTAGTAATAAAAATTCATTTTCTAAAAAATTTAAATTAAAAAAAAAGAAAATTAAATGAGAGTAACCTAGCTAGTAATTAATATTACAACCTATAAACTAATTAAAACCTTAATTCTGTTCATATGCATACTAAGAAACGACACTGCTGGCTTTAGGCCAATTTTTTTAGGTCTAAAACAATTGGTAATTCTTTGAATAAAGTCACTGAAAAGTATTACCAATGTTTAGCATTTCAGTTAAAAAGAAGATTAAAAAAAAAAAAAAAACAAGATCAAGATTCAGGGAATTAGGTGCAACATGGGATGCAATATCAGTGGAAAATATTATAAGTGAGTTGTATGGCTACAAATGGGGACGAAGAACTGGTTTAAGATCACCCATTGTGCAAATATAATGATTTCATGGGATAATTAATGAAGACAACCATTAGTGCACATATAAATGGAATATTTATGTAAGTCAACGCATGCGTATTGCTACCTAGAAAATCGATATATTCACACACTTCGATTTAATCACTTGATCAATTAAAGTCAACTCTGGCCATTGAGTGAAACCCATTTAGGAACTGCTTTGAACATAAGTGCATGTCATGTGTTAAGGTGGTGCGGTGCTGTTTCATTTCTTGACATTAATGGGGTGGTTGGTTGGCTTGGGTGCTTTAGGACAGTAATAATCGATGGAAGGAAAATAGAGATGAATGTATGTATGTATGTCTATATGTGCCTAGCTTGATAATTATAGCATGAGAGAAACAGATTAATAAATGTGTATTATGAATATAACACGAGAGAGAAGATTTAAAAGTGTAATACTTTTTAAAAATAAATTAAATAAATAAAAATTAGGGATTAAAAATAGATTAAATTTAAAGGAAAAACAATTGCACTGACGGCAATCCCGCTGACAACCAGAAGTTATAGCGTGGTAAACAAAAATCCTTGAAATTCAAGGTTTCATTTGATGTTAACTAAGATAATTTTCAAAGATCATTTGATTCCATTTTGGGACTTGAATTTGAGTGAATAATCGACAAGTCAGCAACACTAACCTAGTTGGATGATCAACCACCTGTAGAGACAGAGATAGAGGGACAAAGAATTGGTCCATGCATGGTGCCAAACCATAGATCTAGTTATACGTACCTATAGAAAGAAAAAAAAAAAGGATTACTTGAGAAAAACGTTGGCAATAAGAAAAATAGTCTAAGAACTTTGTCCTCTGAATTAATATATAAAAAAAATACAACAAAATTTTATATTATATACTAAAAGGAAACTCATGCATAGATATTCCTAGAGTCGGTGAAACATGATTTGACTATGAAAATAGCACTCAACCTAAATATATATCTATGCAGGCGGACCACGGAAAATCTTGTTCTGATCAATTGATTTGGTCAGATTAGAAACCTAATTACCCTAAAGTTTTTGCCGTAAAAAGCTTTGAAAGTGGCACTTTGACCTTTATTTTATACTCATTGTAGGTTTTTTCCTTTCACGTGCAATGATAAAACTAGTTTTCATCAAACAGAAAATTTTTTTTTTTTGAAAAAGATAAAATAATCCAAAGATAAAAAAATATTGTATATATTGAGATTTAAATTATTAACTTGTTAGTTAATAATAAAATAATTGTATAAAATAATTGAATT